GATGAGGAGCAGTACTGCCTACGTAGATTCAAAGGATCTCCCCCAAATTGCTAATGAATGAATATATAGAAATAGTGGAACACCTTAACCAGATGATCAAAACAAACAGCACCACAGGGGGCAGACGGACACTGTACACCTCTAGATGGGATAATGAACATGCGTCATTACTTATGAAGTGTCATGGCTTGGGATGCATAAATAAGCTCAATAGTGTCAATAAGAGACATCCATCAAATGTTTTAAAGAAAACCACTTTACTTAAAGGGAAGGAGGACTATCTCTTCAAAATATCAATGCCATAAAGACAAAGAAAGGCAGAAGAACTCTTAAGGGAGACTAAAGAGACACGATGTATTAGTTTCCAACTACTGCTGTAACAAATTAGCATAAACCTGGTGGCTTAAAACAACACAAATTTATTATTTCACAGTTCTTGAGGTAAGAAGTTCAAAAATCTGTCTTAATAGGCTAAAATCAAGGCGTTCGTTGGGGCTGTGTTTCTTCTGGAGGTACTAAAGGAAATTCTTTTGCCTTTTCCAACAATGAGAGGCTGCCTGTGGTCCTTGACTTGTGGCCCCTTTCTCTATTTTTAAAGCTAGCAGTGTAGCATTTTCAAATCTCCCTCTCTGGCTTTGATACTCCTGTCTCCTTTTTAAAAGAACTCATGTACTTGAGATTGGGCCCAGCCAGATAATCCAGAATAATTTCTCCATCTCAAAATCCTTAATTTAATCACATCTGCAAAGTTTCTTTTGTCATGTAGGGTAATATATTCACAGGACAAGACATCTTTAGGAAGCCATTAATCACATGACATCAAAATGCAAATCATGATCTTAAATTGGTTCTTAGACTGAAGTAAAAGAAATGCAAAAAAGATAAAATTGAAATCCAGTCAAGAAAGTATTATAATTATAGCCCAATTTATTGAAGTTGCAAATACACTGTGTTTAGGTAAAAGACTATTATTTACTCAGGAAATAGGTACTAAAGTATTTGAGGGCCTTGATGTCATAAAAGAACTTCAGAAAAACAATCAAGCACACAGGCACACATAGAAAGAAAGCAGGTAGAATGTCAAAAATAGGCGAATCTGTATTAAAGGGCACAGGGGTGGTCTTTGAATATTCTTGCAACTTTTCTGTAAACTTGAAACTATTTCCTGATAAAAAATTTTGAAAACACTTGTGAGTATATAATTTACTTAAAAATTGATGAAGACAGAATAAGATCTAGTGTTTCATAGCATAATAGGGTGACAATAATAATGCAGAGTTAACCATAGTGTATGTTTCAAAATAACAAAAAGAGTGGAATTGGAAAATTCCTAACACAAAAAAAGATAAATGTCTGAGTGGATGGATATTCCACTTACCCTGATTTGATGATTGCACATTGTATGCTTTTATCAAAATATCACATGTACCCCATAAATATGCACAGCTATTAAGTATCCATAATGACTAAAAAAAATTTTACTCAAATATTACAAGCAACTCACAGTTTATATAATGTTATGGAAGTTCAAGAGAATGGATGTGTGGCAACATACAGCAGCTCAATTTTTATTCCTTCTACAATAACATGACTAGTAAATGAAAAGAACCAGAAATGTTTAGGTACCTTTAAGGTCAGAAAATCCTAACAGTCTGGCAATATTATAGTTTTGGAGAATTTAAAATAGAATTGGTAATTATTGTTAGGTTTAAATACTAAGCGGTTGATCACACCCTGCTATTTGTTTGTGAGACAGAATCTGCTAGGTAATTTTCTAAGAAGGCCCTTAGAAAAGTAGACTCTCTTTTCCAGGATTATTTAGCAGTTTTTTTTTTTTAACAAACAAAAGCAAAAAATAAATGTATTCTATTCTAGAGTTTTCTTCTGCCTAGTGCCCCTGGCAGAATTTTATTACTTTGGGCCCAGAGAATTTTTCTGGCACTCACAGTCATTCCACCCTCTATTGTTTAAAGACAAAAGATAAGGCAGCTGGGACTCTGACCACTTGCAAATAATCAGAGACCTCTCTACTGGGAAACTCCTCTGTTCTTGGCAGAAACTAACATTTTAAAAAGAAGGTAAAACAAAGGGTAAGACCTCTGTTTTTGCCCAAAGCCCTACACACAGGCTGGTTTTTCTTGCCACCTGTGGTGCCCAAGAACGGCATTTCTCCAGTTGTGCAAGGACAGCTTGCCAGGATCAAAAATAATGGTGGACTTTTTTCAATTACAGAAAGAAGGACAAAATATGTGGCAGTGAATCGGCTTTATTTTCACAAGTTTGGCTCTTGCTATCACCAGCCAATACTGAAATCTATGATTTAGCACAATCTATGATTATACCAGCACAAAATAATCTATTTAGCTGTTTTCAGTTTAACACTTGTTTTTAAAAGAGCAGCAGGACTTCTCTGAGTAAGTTTGGTAATCACCATCCTAAATGTTGCTGCCTTCAGGAGTGGGGATGGTCTTTATAACCTAGAGGTTTCTCTTCAAACACTTTCTCTCAGTATTATAATTATTTAGATTCCCTCCTTTGCCTTTTGAAACCCATGGTTAAGAGTTAGATGACCTGGGTATAGGGAGTTTCTTTTTAAGACTCTATCATTTTCAGGTTGTATAACCTTGGGCAAAATACTTCTGGGCTGTAAATCTCAGTGTGTCCTCTGTAAAACAGGAATGATAACAGCTATTCTATCTCCCTCACAGAGTCTTCCTAATCACATCCAGGGTAATAAATATGTGGGATCATTTTGCAAATGGAAAAGTGTTATAGAAAACCTGGATGATTCCCCTCCACCCTCAGTTATAAGATCATTGTCTAACTGATGTGTGCTTGTTTCTTAACATTTCAGGCAAAGTTCTGGCTCTTCATCAGCCATTTGGGTTTGATTTTTCCTGAGGGCTTGCTGACTGATTAACAACTGAATTAATTAGCTTTCAGGCTGCTAATAATTTTACATTTCCATTTTAAGAGAGCACTTCTAACTCAGTAGGATGGATGTGAACCTAGGCTTGAGGATAACTGTTTCAACATGAAGACACATGTTCTAAAAAGTTCTAAAACCCTCCAGTTATTTCTTGCTAAAATGCTTACTAAGGAAAAGAACTAGAGCCTTGACATTTTCTAGAAATGATAGCCTTGCAGTTTTTGAAGGGCATTTTAAGTGCAAGCATATGGTGGTGCCTTAAACAGATAATAATTTTGATTGACCGATCCACAAAAATCACTCAAAGTCTAAAACAACTTGTACAAAGTAGATATGTAATGAGTATTTGGTAAATTATGGAAAGATGAAAGTTGCAGAGAAGGGAGTAACCCAAATGATTTAAATTTACTTAAGGAATCCGATACATTAGTTAAAGTGAATAAACAAGGAACAACATGTCAAAGCATGTTGAAAGATATACTCAAACTTCAAAGTAGTATATACAGTATAATGACTGGAACATAAAGTTATTAAATATGCAAAAGCTCAATGTCTCCTGTGTGGATGCATATATTGCAATAAAAGTGTTAAGAGAATGCATGGTTACTGTGCACCATTCTGCTCAGCACAACTCCATGGGTTGCTGACCATATTGCAAGCCCTAAAAACACGCATTGGAATGACAAGGTCAAGCTCAGAATAACTGCTACCACTAACAGACAGAGGGGGACTAATGGGGATGGCAAAGAGCATATACAGGGCTTCAGTTATATTTATAATGTTTCATTATTTAAAAATATATTTCAGACAAATATTGTGCAATGATAAGATTTGACAAGGTCTGTGATGGGTATAGATATCACATTATTCTCTATGCCTGAAATATTGCTTAATGCATGAATTCTGATACCTTGCAATGAGAAAAATAATTAAAATAGTTTTAAAATTATTCTTTGTTTATTCATATTACTTGTTTTCAGTAATAGAGTAGTATTTATAATAGTAATCACATATGCTTACTGTAAGATCTATCTATCTATTTTCTTTCTAATAAATTCAGAGATTAAAATATGTTGAGTTCTCAAACTAAATAGGCAAGAAAAAGGTGAGGTATGAAAAAAATTTTACATAAGTTTATATTCAAGCCTTTTTGGGGGGAGATACTTAAGGAAAATGGGAAATCTGTGGCTAGCTTTAAAGCAGATTCATATTTATTTTGGGAATACAGAGAGCCCTCTGTATCCATGGATTCAACCAACCAAAGATGGAAAATATTTAACAAATAATGATAGCCGGGCTCGGTGGCTCAGCCAGTAATCCCGTGCCTTTGGGAGGCTGAGGTGAGTGGATTGCCTGAGCCCACGGGTTCGAGACCCGCCTGGGCAGGCGAGACCTCATCTCTACAATAAATCAAAAAATTAGCTGGGCGTGGTAGCACGTGCCTGTAGTTCCAGCTACTTGGAAGGCTGAGGCGGAAGGATCGCCGGAGCCCAGCGGGTCAAAGCTGTGGTGACCGGGAGCAGCCACTGCACTCCAGTCTGGGTGACAGAGTGAGACTACAACTAAAAAAAAAATAAAAATAAAAAATAATGACAACAATAAAACATAAATTTTAAAAGCACAGTATAACAACTGTTACATAATATTTACAGTGTATTGAGTATTATAGGTAATCTAGAGCTAATTTAAAGTGCACAGGAGAATGTGTGTAGGTTGTATGCAAGTACTATGCCATTTTATATAAGGGATTTGAGCATCCATTGATTTTGGTATCATGGGGGTGGGGTGGGGTGCCACATGTCCTGGAACCAATACACAAGGATCCTGAAGGATGACTGTACAGGTCTCAGATATGTGTGCCCAAAGGATGAAGTTTAGTGGTTGCTGGAGGGAAAACAACAACAAAAAGCAAAAACCCAAAACTATGCAAGTCAAATTCCACTGATACCTTCTTCAAATCCTGACAATTAGCAAACACCTAAACTGCAGATCATTTCTTATCTCTGTCTGAATGACCCCACATCATCTGTTAGCTAGTAACATAAGACTCAGAAATGTACAGTTTACATACCAAAACATCCATCCCGGGGACATATTTGAGGGTTATCATATAGTCCTTTGGAAGATTTGCCACCTACAGAGACAAAAAAAAAAAAAAAAATCCATAAGAAAATTCATACACATCAATTAACCATATTATTTGTAAGGGCTTGGAGAAAATGCATTCAAATCTGCTGTGCTTTTTCAAGTTACTGATGGATTTCAATATTTACATATATACTGATTTTTCATCCTCTGTTTCCCTTTTTAATCAAAGGCACCCTCAAAAAAAAAAAAACATAAGCGATAATACAAACATTTTGGACTCCAAATTCAGTTATGGCTGGCTAAGTATAACCTATCGAATTTTAGAAACATAGTTTGAATTTCAACTTCCATCTGTGGTCTTGGACTTCTTCTCTAGGACTATTTTCCTACTTGTCCCTCCATAGAATTAGTAATAAAGTATATTTTTTTATGTCACTGGTACTCAAAGTGTGGACCTCAAAGTGATATGCCAGCAACAGGATACTCACCAGAAATGCAAATTCTTGGGCTACACCAGACCTAATACATCTTACTTAACAAATCCCCCACATGACTCTGATCCACACTCAAGTTTGAGAACTGTCTTTCTATGTTGATCTTGAAAAAAGGGTCAGTGAAACTTCAAAAGAACAATACTATTTACGAGACACAACTGCTTTATGGCTTAAGTCTAGAAAGATTCAATTTGTGACATAACTTAATCTGCTTACCTTGGGCTGAACATGTGAGATGCCACAGATGTTTGCCCCCCTTCTTTTCAAAGCTTTTAAAAACGCCTGATTTATTTACATCATTGTGGCTTATGTGAATAAGCAACAGATTTGGAACCATGGAATCTGAAACAAATCTAAACTCTTGGTATGTTGGTTCTTCTCATTTATAAAGTAGAAATCAAGGTACAGCTATCAAATGGTCATTTAGAGTTGAGATAGGTGAATGTTATAAACTCATTGTAAACACAATCCACGTTCTTTATTGACGGCTATACTAGCAGCTGACTTCGGAGGCAAATAGCCCCAGTAAGTCACAGAGACCTAGCTTCTCTTCTTTCCTAAATATGAGGGGGATGCCAAAAAACCTCAGAATTATTAAACATTGTGTATTTATTCTTACATGTTTAAGCTTCAGTCAATACACCTACCAAGATGCTTTTTCCACCACTCAAAACAGTTTTTAATTCATTTTGATGTCTTTTACTGCTTCTGTCATTTTTTGTTTCACCTCTTCCACACTGGCAAAGGTTTCCCTTTGAGGACTCGAGGACTTTTTCATCCAGGGAAACAAAAAAAGTTGCTCAGGGTGAGATTGGATAAAAAGAAAGGTGGGGCATGGGGGGGGGGGTCATGTCATTTTGGTCAAAAACTCTGAATACTCAGCAAGGTATGGGTTGGTTGTTCATGTAAATCACTCATCATGAAATGGGCAAACTCACTGAAAGAATATCCAATTAAAAAAATTAACTGAAGCTGAAAGCAGTCTCTCACAACACCACTAGCTGGTACACTGATGCCGATGGGTTCCTAGAACACTTACATAGCTGGGGAAGCCTATACTACTAGGGGACTGCTCTCTAAAAGATAATTTTGGGTTTTTTTTGAGTCCCTTGGTACATCTTCGACTCTGTCATCCCCATATTTTTATATTGCTATTAAAATTCCCTGCTGAATAACACAGACAACTACTGACTTAACCCATTGGGTATTCATATAAACTAGAGGCTCTATACCATCACATCTTCAAGGGCCTACCTTGTCTTTTGACTTATTTTTCCCTTAATCCCGTCTCTAGAGACTTTATTTTCCCCATAGAAAGCTGAGATCATGTGCATGCTTGCTGGACTAAGTCATCTCCAACAATTTCCCGTAACATAGTCCATATGGTCCTTCTTGGACTTGTCAACGGTTTCTAGAATCAGGGAACAATTTATTGTGAAAAGAATCCAGGCAAAGGCATGAGTAGTCAGATGGGAGCCAAGGTACTAATTGACCCTATTATGTTCATTGCCATCCTACCTCCAGGGCTACCACCCCACACTCATTTTAGCCTTGAGCTCAGGCTCTTGGTCTTATTCCTCCTTCCTCAGTTCACTTTATCATGAAATACTAACGGTGCCTAACACTTAGTGAATATTTACTGCGTGCCAGGCACTGTGTCCACTGTAGCATCATCACAACCTACCTACCCTCTGACATATTCTCTCTATTTAACAAATGAAGAAATTGGCTGGCTGCAGTGGCTCACACCTGTAATCTCACACTTTGGGAGGCCAAGGTGGGAGGACTGCTTGGACTCGTGAGTTTGAGACCAGCCAGGGCAACATAGCAAGACCTTGTCTTTACAAAAAATCAAAATATTAGCTGGGCATGGTGGTGAATACCTGTAGTCCCAGTTACTCAGGAGGCAGAGGTAGAAGGATGGCCTGAACCTAAGAGGTCGAGGCTGTTATGAGCCGTGATCATGCCATTGCACTCCAGCCTAGAAGACCAAGTGAGACCCTCGCTCAACAACAAACAAACAAACAAAAAAGATGAAGAAATTGAGGCTCAAAGAATTCAAGAAACTTGACTAAGGTCACACAACCACCACATGTTAACTCTGTACTAGAGCCAGGTTCTTAAGACAGTGAGCCTCTCTTGCCTCTTAGCCTCATTACACATTTTCATCTACTCTCTGGAGGACATGTGTCCTGGGTCTTTTCCTCTTGTGAGTCTCCACCATCATCCTCCTCATGCCATGCTTAATAAAATAGTGGAATCCTTGCTGCCAGAGAAGGTGGTATTTTCCACTTTCCACTTATTTTAGGGGTTAACTTCTATATTCTTTATACTCAACTTTCTTCCTCAGTCAAATTTCCCATCAAAATCCCATGATTTCTCTTCTTCTCTAAGTCTTCATCCCTATCTTGGAAAAGCAAAACGATCTAATTGTTTTAGGTAAACCTTGGTGGCAAAGATACAGCAGACCTTCTGCAGGTGTTGATACTTGAGACTAAGCAGCAATGTTCTATTTCATGATGAACCAATCCCATAAACTAAAGCCATTCCAGAAGGAAAAACACAGCAAGAAGAGGCAGATATTCTGAACACAAGTTGCTTGCCATTCTAGCCCCTCCTTCAGCATAATTTTGAAAATATAAATAAACATTTATTTATAAATAAAACATTATTTTAATAATACAAATAGAGAATCAACTGAATTCATATTTAGAAAACTTAGGTTCTGAGTATATATCTAAAGACCAAAGAAAATGAAAACTTGCATATCTGCTAGCCAATTTTATTTTATGAGAATTTATATACAAAAATAGGTTCAAATAAGTCAAAGAAAGCTTATAAAAAGTTTTCTGACCAAGACATGGAATCTCCACACTGTACTACTGGGGTGGGGGGAGAGGTGGTGTATGTGATATAATAATAAAGTGATGTCTGCATTATGTTGATATTTAATTTCTAGTGAGACTAAAAATAATACTATTTTTAAAAAAAATGCCTTATAATTCATAACAAGTTTTCATTTATGTCTTCACCACAACCCCATGAGAGATCTTATGAAGCCTATTTTATAGGTAAGGGCTTGGAGACTCAGGGTAACTAGCAGCCTCAAGGTCACGGACATCAGGAGTAAGTGGTGGGGGTACTGACCCTGGCCCTATCTGCTGGTGCACAGCATACCTGTCTACAAAGCTATCTCCCCTTTGTTACTTTCTTGGCTTTCATCAGTTCTTTTCCAATTATAATTACATTTAGAAGATAATTTAGGAGGTAACATAGATATATATGGTCATTTCATAAATTATTTTATGATTTTTCTAGGCATTTATACAGGTTGAGCACCTCTAAACTGAAAATCTAAAATCTGAAATGCTCCAAAATTGGAAACTTTTTGAGTGCTGATATGAAGCCTCAAATGGAAAATTTCATGCAGAGGTACTGAACATAAACTTTGTTTCATGCACACAAAGTTATTTAAAATATTATATAAAATTACCTTCAGATTATGTGTATAGAGTATATATGAAACATAAATAAATTTCATGTTTAGTTTTGGATCCCATCCTTAAGATTCTCTCTCTATATACACATATTTCAAAATAAAAAAAAATCTGAAATTTGAAATACTTCTGGTTCCAAGCATTTTGGATAAGAGACATTCAACTTTTAGTACATTGATTAGCATTAAGAAAGCACAGATAACTTCACAATAAATTCAGCCTTTCTGATGTGTAATGGTCATTGTGAACAATTTTACAGAATAGAGGGAGGCTTTGACCTGGAACTTGGAAGCTGTTCCCTAAAGGCAGGGAATTTTATGGAGGGATCAACAACATAGGTTCTGGAGACAAACTGCTTAGGTTGGATCCTGGCTCTGCCACCTGCTAACCCAGAGATCTTGAGCAAGTTACTCCATCAACTTTAGGCCAAATTTAGACGTGTGTAACATGAGAATCACAACAGAAGCTAGTTAATGGATTCATAAGGATTGAAAAACTCGTATAAGATACTAAGTGCCTAGGCATGGTGTGTAAATGAGCGTGAATTTCTATGAATATGAATTGCAAGGGAGTGGAGCATTCTAGATTGGGGAAGGGTCATATGCAAAGGCAAAGAAAGGAAAAAGTTCATGGTATGTTAGGAAGACCAGATAAGAGGAAGAAATACACTGGAAAAGCCACATTACAGAGTTCCCTCCTGAATGTAGGATTAAGGAATTCCAGTGGGAAGACTAAGAAATAGCAGGGACAGTTCTACTACCAGAACTCCACAGCAAAAGTCACCCTGCTTAGGCACCTCTCATCATCTCTGTGGAACTTCTGTTCCTTGTCTGTAAAATAAAGAGGGTGAACTAGCTAGTGACTAACAATTCAGTCTGGTTTGACTCTTATATAAGCTGTGGTGCAACACTGAACATGTTTAAGCAGGAAAGAAACATGATAGTAAATTAGCAAGATTAGTGTGGAAAGATGGGTTGGGGCAAAAAGAGAACAGAGACAGGCAAAAGGTTAGACGACCAGTAGGAGGATGCTGGATATATGTTCAATTTTTATAC